CCAAAAAAAAAAAAAAAAAAGACCTGTCAACCAAATACATTCTACCCTGAGACTAGAGGGGCCTGAAAGACTGAATTTCCTACCTCACTTGAGAGCCAGGAGTGAGTGGAAGGTTCCAGGACTCCAGCTAAATTGAGTAGGCTCGCTGGCCTGGAGATTGTGGTGACAGGTGGGAGCAGAACCTCAAGGGTTCTGAAGGGTACCTCATCTACCCCTTTATTCATACTACATAACCAAGTCTTTCAGCAAGCCCTGGGACTGACCAAAGATTAAGGAAGGGCATGAAGAAAAGAGAAACAGGAGCCTCTAGTGATAGGGATGGCAGGCCAGCTGAACTCCTGGGGTGAGGTTAAAGAATCAAGCCCTCTGTTCATGACCTTCCCTCCAGCTGTCAGGAAAACACTGGTTCAACATGTAGTCTGCTATGGACTTTCCTAGCCTTGGAGAGAGAAGAAACTGGCTGGAGTACTAAGGAGCACCCAGCAGAAGGCCCAGACCTCAATTTCCCCTATGTAAAACAAAAAGATTCACTTCAAAGTGGTTCTCAGGTATTTTTAGACATGCAAAGCTGCCCTGCAGATTAAGTGTGCAGCTGACTTGCCAGTTGAGTCCATAGGAACAACAAGGAGCTGCTCTGATGGAAGGTAGTGAGGGCAGGGAAGGAGCACCTGGGACTTTTAGGGGTCCCAGGACCACAGTGCTGTGAGGACTATCAGACTGGCTCCTAGTCCAACCCCTTCCAGGGCTGGCATGCCTCCCCAGCATCCCTGCATTCAACCCTGCAGTGGTAGTAGATTCCTTGGGGGTGGGGGTTGAGGAGGGCTGACCAGTAAAGGCCAGACTCCTCCATCCCAGCACCCAGACCAGAGAAGAAGCAACCCTTTCTATGTGTTTCTCTTCAGGCCAACTCCTAGCTTTAGGGCCTCCAGGGAGTCCAGACTAGGGGCTAGAAACACAAAAGGCTTGCTTTCTTAATGAGGAGGCATCTGCAGTCAGTAGAGCCATTAGTCCCCGCCCTAGGTCTCTGGGGGGCTGCAGCTCCTCTCCAGCTGGAGAGAGGAGGGGGCAGGCAGCTCCCAAGCTCCCACATGGGCAGGGTCTGGATGAGTGGGGGAGTACTGACAGCGACCCAGGAGCCTGGGTACCTTCTCTACCCCTCAGTCCTCCTTCCACCTTTACCTTTCTGGAGGTTGAGAGCCCTAGAGACCCCTCAGCCTGCACCACTAAGCCTTAGGTTGACCTGCAGGCTTTTGACCAAACACAGCTTTTGGCCTGACACAGGGAAGGCTGACCTCTGGGAGCTCTCAGGGGAAATCCTCTCATCAAACCTGATGGAGCTCCAGCTGGACCACTTGCCCTCGCCTGCAAACCTGGGCCCCAAAGTCCTGTCCACAACACCTCTACCCACATGGAGACACTCATGATTGATTACCCATACAACACCAGAATCGCACACCAGCCATTTTAACTGGCAGATTCAAACCCCCATTTCTGTCTAGATGGAGACAGGCCACATACAGGAGACAGTTGAGCTTCCCAGCAAATGCCCAGCCCTGAACACTTGTACAAGAAGCTTTGTACACCCATCCACCATACTCCCAGGTCATCAGAGAGGAGGAGGCAGGGCAGGGAATTTTTATGCATGTATATATTAAATGAACTACATGCAAATGACATGGAGAATGGCCACAAAGGAGCCAGCCCCCAGAGACTCTTGGGGGAAAGGCACAAAGGCATGTCCTCATCCTTTCATCCTTTCTAGCTACTGAGCCGCCCTGGAGCCCAGAACAGGCGTATGGACTGAGGGGGCCACAAGGAGGGCTGCCCAGGCACACCAGGGAGCCCAGAGCTTGGCCAGCCAGTGACAAGCTCCAGAGTCCCTGCTGCTGTGGGTAGGCCTCTTTCTGGGAGGGAAGGAGCCACTGTCCCAATTGATGGAGTGCCGGAGGGGAGGGGCTGTGGCCTGGACAGATGGTGTACCGCCTTCCTGCACTTGAAGCAAAGTGGATTTTAATGAAATTTCAATCCTGGTGCTGAAGCTAGGAGCCTGCATGGGAGGGGCCCTTCCCTATATTGCCAATGTGGGGCCTGATTCAGGGTGGGAACAGAGTGGGCAGAACACTTAACCAGCTGGGGGTGGTGGTGGTAGGGGGAGCACCATGGCTCCTCTGCCAGGGTCTCTGTTGATCAGAGTTTGAGTTCTGATCCCCAAAGGGGGGGGGGGGCTCTGAATATTTATGACACATTGAAATGTAGATTGGTAGGTTTGACAGTTCTGAGAGGCCTATCACCTTGCATGAATACACCACCCTCTTGGGGTGCTGGTGGAAACTGCATGTAGGGAGTGAGGATGAGGAAGGACAAATAACAAAACAAAACACTAGGCCCTGGAAACCAGGGTCTGACAAAGCTGCTGTGTCCCTGCTAGGTGACAGCGGATGAACCAGTCCCCTCTGGGCCTGTTTCCAATTCTGTAAAGTGTAACATGTTATTCAGGTCTTCTATATGGCAGTGGGAGTTTATCAAATCTGATAGTTGCTGAAAGGTGGTAGCCAACTTGGGACCAAGTGAGTACTCATCTCTGAATGTCTTTCATTGGTCAGCTCTGGGGGACCCTTGTCTCCCAGGAAAGCCTCCCACCACCCAAGGATTCCTTGTTAGAACTTTATCATTTGGAATTGGTTTACCAGGCATGTCCAACCTGTGGCCTAAGGGGTGCATGTGGCCAACGGTAGCTATGATAGCCCAATGCAAATTATGAACTTAAACATTGAGTTTTGTTTTGTTTTGTTTTTGTTTTAGTTTGTTGTGATTTGATTGCATGATTCTTCATTGTGAACTTCGTAGATGACAATGTTGTCTCCCCTCCCAGGCATCTTAAAGACTATACCATCTCTGTGGGGGTGGGGAGGGTTGGGTTGGGTTCCTATCCAAGAAAGCTAAGGGAAAGGCTGAAATGCCCCCTAAGCTACTGTCCTGCCTCTGCCAGCTGCAAGAAGTCTGTCCCTCTGTGGGTGAACCCCCACCTCCTTCTCTTCCATGCACCTCTGCAGTATGCCTTACCTTTCCGTCCCCCTTCTGTTTCCACAGCCATGTCAGACTTCCACGTGCACCCCCAGGCCACTGTGGGTGAAGAGGGTGGAGTAGCCCGCTTCCAGTGCCAAATTCATGGGCTTCCCAAGCCCCTAATCACATGGGAGAAGAACAGAGTCCCCATTGACACAGACAATGAGAGGTGAGCCTCTTGTAGGAAGGACAAGAGGGGCTGGCCCAAACACTGGCTTTGGATGAAGACTGTGGCAGCTCTGTGGGTGCCACTAGTGCCCCCAACCTGGGACAGTGATATTTATGAAGCTGCCATTAGTACTGTGGGTCCATGTGGTTTACTAGGCCCAGATTCTAGACTTATGGAAGTGTGTGTGAAGACTGTGTGGGGTTATTGTCAAGGTTACAAGGAAGTATATCCACCTGGGAGTATATCTAGTCTGTAATCACAACTGTCTGACTGGGAGAGTGGCCCATTGGTTTGTATTCCTATGGCTCCAGGTTCCAGTGGCTATGGTGGTAGTCAACCGTGCCTTTCCCCTAACAGGTACACATTGCTGCCAAAGGGGGTCCTGCAGATCACAGGACTACGGGCTGAGGACAGTGGTGTCTTCCACTGTGTGGCTTCCAACATTGCCAGTGTGAGAGTCAGCCATGGGGCTAGGCTTACTGTGTCAGGTGAGGTCCTTTGGCTTGCCTAGTTCTTCCCTCAGCCATCCCAGCTGACCTACTCCTCCCCTAACCCAGGTCAACCAAGTGAATATGGAAGGCCTCCTGGGCACAAACTGAAGGCCCCTAAGGCTGGTCCCTGGCCCTCTTTCCTTAGCCTCTCTTCTTAGGAAGGGCATCCCGAGTGATTCCCTAGGCTTTCCCCCCCTGCCGGAGGCCTTTTACTGATGGGAATGAAAGGGTGATGTGAGGACTCGGGTTCCCCAGTATCTCCCTGCCCTCATGACCTGGTTTGGGAATGATATATGTCATGGGTGGGGCTAAGGAAGTAGAAGAGCTCCCAGCTGAAGTGAGGAAATGTGTTTTTTTCTCCCAGGCTCAGGCTCTGGGGCCTACAAGGAGCCCACCATCCTTGTGGGGCCTGAGAACCTCACCCTGACAGTGCACCAGACCGCAGTGCTAGAGTGTGTCGCTACGGGCAACCCGCGCCCCATTGTGTCTTGGAGCCGCCTGGGTGAGCCTCATCCATAGCCCCTGCCCCTCCCACCCCCTGGGAGGGCTGGTCTCATGGTCTCACCCAGCTTTGGGGGACTTTGAATTGTGTTTATTCTCCACCCTGTGGCCTGGGGAGGGGCTGAGTTTCCCAAAGGTCAGCCTGCTGTTGCATTCTCGCTCCCCCAGCAGGGGCTGGCTTAGCTCCCTGGGTTACCAGGTCCAGACAGTCCTTACCCAGCCCCCTTCCCACCCCCAGAACCTTCTGAACCCTCAGCACCCAGTCCTACTTATCCCACTCTCTGTACCCTGGACACATCCCTAGTATGCAATACTCAGCCCCCCAAATTCTCAGCAGGCTTCCCACCCTTGCTCTGCCTCCCTACCCCCAGGTTTGCTTGCTCCCAAGTCCCCCCAGCCTGAATCCCTAGGCAGCTGAAGGAAGCAGTGAAAGGGTGCAGATGGGCCACTAATCTGAGCAGAAAGGTCACTGGGGGAAGGAACCTCTGGAGGGGTGGGGTGGGGTGGCATTCACAAGGAGACTGTGCCACACTGTAGCAGCTGAGAGTTGGGGGAAGGAGGGGCCTTGTGGGATAATGGAGTAGATTTCACCACTTCAGGGCCTGAATGGGGAGCTGTCTCCTTGTGTTCTGACTGAGCTAATCTGATCCTGGGGTGGGGGGAGGGTCCAGGTTCCTGGGAGAGGCCGAAAAGAGTAGCCTTACCATCAGGAGCCACTAGGCACTATAAAGCCATCTGGTCCATCATTTCCCAAAGCATGGTCTATCATGAGAGAAAGACTGGCTGAGTGGCCTAACAAGATTGGGGAACAGAGTTAACCAGGGCCCTTTGCTGTGAGACTTCTCAGAGCCTTTGCATTAATGAGCACGTGACTAACCATCTCAGAGTGGAATGGCTATTCAACCATGGAGCTTACAAATGATCAAATTCAAATCCTTTACAGAGACGAGTACTTTTAATCCCAGGCCTCTGGAGGCAGAGGCAAGTGGATCTCTATAACATCAAGACCAGCCTGGTCTATATAGTTAGTTCCAGGCTAGCTGGGCTACATGGAGACCCTGTCTCAAACAAACAAACCAATAAACAAACAAAAACCAAAGACAAATCCTTTATGGATTTACTGGAGAAGGGACTATAAGGTTAGCACTTAGGAGGCTGAGGCAAGAGGATCTCAAGTTCAAAGCCAGCCTGGGGCTATATATATAGTGAGATCCGGTCTCAGGAAAAAAAAGAGCCAGTGATCTTGCTAGAATCAGGACCCTTGTCCCTGCTGCTGGCCTGGAGTCTTCTATATTGTTCTGTACTTTTGGGGAGGGAAGGTGCCAGAAACAGACTGGCACTTTCTGAAAGTCTAGTGGAGGGTTGAACCCACTGGAATGTTCCATGCTTCCTAGTCTTCCGCTCTCCTGACACTACTTGTTTGCCTCGACTTCTATTGCAGATGGCCGCCCCATCGGGGTAGAGGGCATCCAGGTACTGGGCACAGGAAACCTCATCATCTCAGATGTGACTGTCCAGCACTCAGGTGTCTATGTCTGTGCAGCCAACAGGCCTGGTACCCGGGTGAGGAGGACAGCCCAGGGTCGGCTGGTGGTACAAGGTATGGAGTAGCTAAGCCCTTCTCTTGCCCTCTCAGCATCTGTGGCCTATGTCAGAGCCCAGAACTTTCTATCACCCCAGCTGCCTGTTGTCCTTACACTAGCCCTGTCCCTCACCACTTACTCATAAGCCCTGTGCCAGCCAAAGATAGCAGTTCTTTCCCAAGAACATGGGTTCTGGCACCTGGAACTTACAACCTGTGTACCCTGCAGGTGCTGGCCACCCCTCCAACCTGGGAGGCACCGCCACTTTCTGATCTCAGTAGGTTGTCCCTCCCCATGGAACCATTTCATTCGCACATGTGGCACTTCCGTGCTCACACCTGTCTGCCTGTACGCGCCAGTGCACCTGTCATTTCCCTCTCACATGGCAGCTCCCACCTCACCCATAAGATGTGGGACCCTCAGCTGGTCCTGATTTCCATTTCCAGGGTTTTCTCCTGGTTGTCCCTCCCACAGTGCAGGAGTGAGGATGGGAAATAGAGAATTAGGAACTTAGGTGCTATTTGTTTAGCACACTATGTGCTGTTAATCTGTCCACATGATGATATTCCATGTGATGGAATATTTCATTCTTGGGTGTTAATAGAGGCTTGAGGCCAGAGATTGGAGGAAAATGGAACTGGAGGGGGGGCCTTATCCATCTCCTGTCATTGCAGCCTTGGAGGTACAGCCAGCCCTATTAGCACATTTATTTATTTAACAATTTCCTGAACAGTGAGCTTGGCTTGATTGCTTTTGGATACAGATATCAGTCTTTTAAATAGTCCTTAAGATGGAGTCTTCTTCCAGGATGCTTGGGGTAGAAGAATGAGAGAGGTAGGCCTCTCTTGACCCACCTAGAGGAGCCTTCTCTGACCTACTGTGTCTTCTTTCTCATCCTTTCATTTATGACTGTCCCTCATGGCAGTCCCTGTCCCTCTCCACCTGACCTTCATGTCTCTACATGCTTCTCTGTTCCCATTCAGCCCCAGCAGAGTTTGTCCAGCATCCTCAGTCAATCTCCAGGCCAGCTGGGACCACAGCCATGTTCACCTGCCAAGCTCAAGGTGAGCCACCCCCTCATGTCACATGGTTGAAGAATGGACAGGTGCTGGGACCAGGAGGCCATGTCAGGCTCAAGAACAATAACAGGTGTGTATGTGTGCTATGTGTTGGAATGTTGTCTGGGGGGAGAAACAGTAGTCTGAAATGAGTCTGGGGACTCAGGTTTGTGTCCCAGGCCTGTCTGCCACTCATGTGTAGACAAGCCTTGCTCAGGCCAGGCATTTGTCTCTTGGAGGAGCCTGGTTTCTCCTTTTCTCAGATGGGAGGTATGGCTGACCTCTGGGAATGCCCTGAGAAGGGGACCTGAGGCTCTCCCTCCCCTGCAGCACACTGAGCATTTCTGGAGTTGGTCCTGAAGATGAGGCCATTTACCAGTGCGTGGCCGAGAACATTGCTGGCTCATCACAAGCCAGCGCCAGGTTGACCGTGCTATGGGACGAGGGGTTGCCCGGCCCCCCACGCAATGTTCGAGCTGTTTCTGTGTCCTCCACTGAGGTTCGAGTGTCCTGGAGTGAGCCCCTGGCCCATACCAAGGAGATCATTGGCTACGTCCTGCACATCAGGAAAGTTGCTGGTGGGTAGTGAACATCAGGAGTGCTGTGCCACCTGCCCTCACTCCTGTAGCTAGCTAGCTCTCTGAACCATATACATCATGACCCAACATCTTCCTTTCCATTCTGCCCTTTGCTGCCAAGGCTCCTTTCTATCTCTTAATATTCCCTGGCCCCACTCTGCCTCCCAGACTCACCCAAGCTGGAATATCAGGAAGCAGTCAGCAAGAGCACCTTTCAGCACCTGGTGAGAGACCTTGAGCCCTCCACAGCCTACAGCTTCTACATCAAGGCCTACACACCAAGGGGGGCCAGTTTAGCCTCTGTCCCCACCCTGGCCAGCACCCTGGGTGAAGGTAAGTCTGGAGCGTGGACTGCAAAACTACAGACTCTCAGGAACACAACCACCTGTACAAGGTGCCTGGCCCTGAGGCTAAATAGGGACTGGATGTATGTACTGAGAGGAAGGGGAAATTCTAATTCATGGAAAGGGGTTGTTTGAGCAAGGACATGTCCTACACTGTGGTCAGAGAGCTGTCAGGCTCCTGGGTGCTAGGTCACAGGTGGAAGATGGAAAGCTAGAGCTTCGACTGACTGCTCACATCTTGACCCTCTACCTGCAGCCCCTGCCCCACCCTCGTTGTCAGTACGGGTGCTGGGCAGCTCCTCCCTGCAGCTACTGTGGAAGCCCTGGCCACAGCTGGCCCAGCACAACGGGGGCTTCAAGTTGTTTTATCGCCCAGCCAGCGCAGTCTCCTTCACCGGCCCCATCTTGGTCCCTGGGACTGTCTCCTCCTACAACCTCAGCCAGCTCGGTGAGACCTGCAGAGCATGGGACCAGGCTGTGGTGCTAGGGCCAGGAGGTGGTATGCAGGGGTGGGATCCTGGTGAGGACAGGGAAGGTGTTCAGTAGCCTTACCTCCTGCAGACCCCAGCACTGTGTATGAGGTGAAGCTGCTTGCCTACAATCAGCATGGGGATGGAAATGCCACAGTTCGCTTTGTGTCTTTGAGGGGAGCCTCTGAGAGGACAGGTAAGAACTGGGAGTAGGATATGGGCTGCAGCCTGGCAGGCAGGGAGAACAGGTGCGAAGCAGGCTAGGTAGGAAGGAGGACAGTAACTGAGGCCTCAAGCACACAGCTTAGACACAATCTTAAAGCTTATGTGCAGCATTTCAGCTGTGTGACCTTAATCAAGTTGCTTAACTTCTCTCAACCCCAGTATTTTTCCACTATAAAACGGTTAATGATACTTACTTGATAAAACTATGGCAAGGATGAAACTCCATAAAACAAAATAAAGTGCATCTAGTCCTGGCTGGGGATGTAGCTCATTTTGTAAAGTGCTTGTCTAGCATATACAAAGCCCTAGGTTCCATCCCCAGTACTACATAAACCAAGTATGGTGCCTATAATCCCAGAACTCAGAAGGTAGAGGCAGGAAGATCAGGAGTTCAAGATCATCCTCTGATACATAGTAAGTTTGAGTCCTGGACTACATGAGACCCTGTCTTAAAATAAATAAATATTGCTAGTCCCAGGATCTGGCACAAAGTTGGTGCTCTGTGACTGGATAGAAAGAACTGAAAAGTTGTGCTGGGGTCCTAACGGAAAAGTCAAAGGGGTCCAGCTGAGGGAACAGGCTGGGGAGTTTGGGGATGCTTCAGGCCAGATGAGCTGCAGCCCCAACTATTCCCCAGCCTTGAGTCCCCCATGTGATTGCCGGAAGGAAGAAACCACCAATCAGACATCTACTACAGGCATCATTATCGGTATCCATATTGGAGTCACCTGCATCATCTTCTGTGTCCTCTTCCTCCTGTTTGGCCAAAGGGGCAGGTGGGTCTTAGGGCCTGGGGTGGAGCTGCTGCTGGGGAAGAGGGCAGAGCTGGGGCCTCAGCCCTCTGTCTCTATCCCCTAAGGTGCTCCCTTAACACTTGGTTCACCCCTTAGGGTCCTCCTATGTAAGGATGTGGAAAACCAGCTCTCCCCACCCCAGGAACCCAGGAGCCAGAGGGATCCTGGCATCCTGGCACTGAATGGGGCAGGCCGAGGAGAACGGGGCCAGCTACGCCGTGGCCAGAAGCATGTGGATGCCAAGGAGTTGGAGCAGCTATTCCCCCCAGCTGGGTCAGCTGGGCAGCCTGGCTCCAGGCCCTCTGTGAGTACACACTCCTCCAACCTATCTCCCTCAGACTCTGACCGTATTCCATCTTGCCCTCCCTTCATCTTGGCTACAGGTCAAGATTTTCTTGGGGCATCCAACTGCTGGTCAGTCCTGCTCTTTGGGTCCTAAGTAGGGCTAGGAGGCCTGGAGAGAGCCAGGCACATCCAACCTGCAGCCTGTGGGCCACATGGCAGCCATATTCATAGTTATGAATATGGCCCAATTCAAAATTACAAATTTACTTTAAATATTATGATAAACTGGGTGTGATGGCACTTATCTGTAATCTCCAGCACTCAGGAGGTAGAGGCAGGAGAATCAGAATTCTAATACCATCCTTGGCTACATAGAGAGTTTGAAGCTAGCCTGGGCTACATGAGATAATGTCTTTAAAAAAATTTATGATTCTGGGGGTGGTGACACATGTCTTTAATCTCAGCATTCAGGAGGGAGAAACAGGCAGATCTCTGTAAATTGGAGGCCAGTTCTAGGCCAGTGAGGGCTACACAGTGAGACTCTGTCTCAAAAAAGAAAAAGAGATTTGTGTGTGTGTGTGTGAGTGAGACTTGATTGCAAGGTTCTCCAGCATGAACTTTGTAGATGACAGTGTATAACATTGTCAAAAGGTTGGACATACCTGCTGGACCTGCATCCTGGGATGGAATGAAGTCTGCCTCTGGTCCCGGTACTTACTGACTCCTGTGTCTGACCCTTTTCCCCTCAGGATCCCACAGCCCCTGTCCTGTATGAGGAGACCCAGCTCTCCATGGTGCCACTTCAAGGCTTCAATCTTGTGGCAAGGAGAACAATAGAAGCCAAGACTGCCTGTGCAGGCCCTGTGCCTGTCCCATCGCCCCAGGATGTAGACCCAGGCCTCCTCAGTGAAGGACAGGCAACCCAGTCTCCTGCAGCCACAGCTTCTCAGACAGCTCACTCAAGATAGTAGCCAGCATCCAGCGGGGTCCAGAGGGGCAGCCCCCTCCTTCTCAGGTCAAAGGCAAGGTTTCTCCTATACCACAGGATTCAGATGGTCCTAGGAGCTCACCAGTGCTTTTAGGTTGACTAAAAAGCAGGGTTGTCAACTCCCCAGGAGCTGGTGAATCCCTGCAGGAAGGTTCCTCCGCTGCCCAGGCTAATGTTCCCTCGCCAATGCCTGCTATCCATATGACTTCGAACTGAACAAAAATTTTCCTTTAAAAATCAAAACTTAAAAGTCATAAAGAGACAGAGAAAGAAGAGAGAGAGAGAAAGGAAGGTAAATTAGACTCCAAAAATATGTCCCTGCTGTGGCTGGGCCTCTGATGCTGTCACCCTGCTCTGACCTTATTTTCTCAGGATGGTTTTTAGTTGTTTTGGCTCTCAGCACCTACCTCAGCCGGAATGAATGTCCTTGGGGATAGTGGGGCTGTAGCCTCAGCCCCCTGCTCCACAGAGCCCGAATGTACTCCTACCTCAAGCCCTCTTATGGGCCCCCCATCCCATATTGTTGCCCAGAGCAAAAGGAAAAAGGAAAAAAACGAAAAAAATAGAAAAAAGGAAGAAAAAAAAATCTGTCCCATTTCCAAGTGTGAAAGAAACTGTCTACCTCAAGCCTCAAGGCCCTTCGTGTGGGCCTGTGTTGTCACTGGACCTTCCTTCCGGCCCTTGTTCTCCCCCAGCCTTTCCTGCCTTGCCCACAGGAGAGGTGACTGATGCTAAGTGACCAGAGGGGCCTATAGAAGTAAAGATGAAATTGGTCAGAGAGAAAATGTGAAACAAGCCAAAAACAAAAGGAAAGTTGTTCCTTGAAGTATAGATTGTCCCAAACTAATCACTTCCCCAGACATCACCTGTGCTACATCTCCTGTGTCAGTCCACCCCTGCTCTGACCCTCCTAGCCAACCCACTGGCCATTGGGATATCTATAGTCCTCCCTACCTGGGCCTGGGGAGGATGAGATGTCATCCCGAGGTTTGCCGCCTGTTCTACCCAGACACAGAGCCCCGTCCCTGGAATGTACTGCGTGTGGTGGGGATGTGTGCGTGGAGGTGGGTGCACCCCCACAGAGGCACCCCTGCTTTCTCCATCATGGGACCCAAGTAACCTGACCTACCTGCTGGTACTACCGTCCAGTCAGCAGGGGTGGCCAGGAGTTATTTTTATATGAGGTGTGTTTACGTTTTATTCTCTTTTCTGTTGTATTGTTCTTTGAACTACTTAGGTAAAAAGAAAAAAGAAAGAAAGAAAGAAAAAAAAAAAACAAGGAAACAAATACCTATTTTTGGTTACACTCAGAAACATTTTTTTAAATAGCCGAAGGAAAACTTTTTTTTAAGAAAAAAAAAAAAAATAAGCGTATTCCTTAAGAATGAAATTAGAGCATAAAGTCCCTGACCCCAAACCCTCTAGGGACAGCCCACCCTAAACTTTAGGTAATTAGCTGAAGAAGGTAGAACCTGTGGTGTTTCCCTAGAAAACTAGTCATGTCCACCTGGACTTAGGAAGGGCATTCCGTCCCTTCTCTCAAGTACTAAGTGGATGCCAGGGGTCTGCCCACTCTGAGGCTGTGTCCTCTATGTGGCTTCTCTGTGAAGTCCCATTCTCCTTTGGGAGGGGGGCTGGGGCATGAGGGGCCTGGAGGCCTCCTGGCCTGACTTGGTTTGTCATAGTTTATTCACTTTAACTGAATAAAAATCCTATTGCCAAAGTGAACCTTGAGTTTTTTGATACTGTATTGGATTCTGGGGCATTGGGGGCATATTTGGTAGGAAAGACCCTCAAAGGGTCATGGGATAATGATAGCCAAATCCTCTGTACAATATGAGGTATAATGTGGGCAGATCATGTGTCCTTATATAGACTTATGAGGTAGCTGAGCCAATGACTACCATCTCTACTATTTTGTACAGACTCAAGAAAGGAGAGGGGGTGTGGATGTGGTAGAGTACTTGTCTAGTATGCATGAAGCCCCAGGTTCAATCCCCAGGACTGCATAAATCAGGCATGGTAGTGCATGCCTGTAATCCCAACACTCTGGAGGTAGAGGCAAGAGGATCAGAAATTCAAGGACATCCTCAGTTAGAGGCCAGTCTGGATTACATAAGATTCTGTCTCAGAAGGCTGGGTGTGGTGGCACAGGCCTTTAGTCCCAGTGCTCAGGAGGCAGAGGCAGGCTAATCTCTCCGAGATCTGTCCAACCTGGTCTACATATCAAGTTCCAGGCCAGCTAGGGCTACAGGAAGACCCTGTCTCAAAAAGACCAAAAAAAAAAAAAAAAAAAAAAAAAAAAAAAAAGATTCTGTCTCAGAGAGAGGGAGGGAGGGAGGAAGAAAAAAGAAAGAGAAGCCTGAAGCTCATGTGAGACCTGTCTTAAATCTGAAGAAGGTTCTGGACTTGCCCTGATTATCCTAGAGGCAAGAACTAGCCAGGATGCAGACATGGCATTCCACTTTTCTTTTTACAGCTTTGACACACAAAGGGATTTTCAGCACCACCATCTGCCCAAGGGCCACCCAAGGAGGATCAAGCAGACCCTGAAGAGATTGGAGAGTGGATCAGTCCCCAACCCCCCCGCCCCCCCCCCGAGTTCAAGATGATAGTACATCCTTAAAGAGATGCCGGGGACTGTTAAAAACATGTATCTATCTGTATGTAAACTGAACACAAATCACAACTATCACAAGGCTCTGAGCTGGAATAAGGCAAAAAAGGGGCAGGTTCCAATAAGTAAAAGTTAGCAGAAATAAGTATTGGAGCTGAGTGGCCTGGCTGCAGTCTGGGTGCTGAGATGGTGCACAGCCTAGAAGCTGCTGGCTGAAGAGCCCCCATCCCCTGTCCATTCCATCCACCATCCTTGGGCAGAAGGTGGTAGTAGCCAAGGCTTGAAACTGTTCTGACTACCCCATGCTCTGTAAGGTTCTTTAACAAGGTACCTGCTCTGCCCACGAGCTGTGGTCTGGCAGGGCTGGGAGTGGGCAGCTCTTTCTGTTCTTCATGGCAGCAGCTAGCACAACTCAAAGGTGGAGGCTGGAGGCTTCCCACTCCCATGTCTGGTGGTTAATACACACTGTCAGAGGCACTTCCCTGTGGCCCCAGCTGCATGAGCATGGTGGCTGGGTTCCACAAACAGAGAGGGAGCCAGGTGGCAAGTATGACAGGATCTCTAAAGTAGACCTAGTGACACAATACTGTGTCATTCTGTTCATTAAAACAAATCATGAAGGTTGGTCATACTGAAGGAATTTGAGGGGAATTCAATTCCACCAATAGGAAGAGGGTCAAGGAACATTTGGACATGTTTTAAAAACAACCACAGGAAGCCGGGTGTGGTGGTGCACGGCTTTAATCCCAGAGGCAGAGGCAGGTGGATCTCTGTGAATTCAAGTCCAGCCTGGTCTACATAGTTCCAGGACAGCTGGGGCTACAGGGAGACCCTGTCTCAAAAAGACCAAAACAAACAAAAAAACAAACAAACAAAAAAAACCCCGGGGGACCAGGCATAGTGACCAAGCCTTTAATCTCAGTACTCAGAGGCAGAGGCAGGTGGTAAGCAGGCAAACTCTTTGAGTTTAAGGATAGCCAGGACTACAAAGTGAAACCTTGATCTCAAAAAAATAAAAGCCGGGCGTGGTGGCACACACCTTTAATCCCAGCACTTGGGAGGCAGAGGCAGGCGGATCTCTGTGAGTTCGAGGCCAGCCTGGTCTATATAGCGAGTTTCAGGACAGCTGGGGCTACAGGGAGACCCTGTCTCAAAAAGGCCAAAAAATAAAAAATAAAATAAAATAAATTAATTAAAATAAAATAAAAATAGAGAAAGCCAGGTGTGGCAGTGTGGCTCTGGAATCCCAGTGTTGGGGAGGTGGAAACAGGTGGATTCTAGGAGCTCACTGACCAGCCAGCCTGGCCCAAAAGGCAAGTCCTGGGTTCAGTGAGAGACTTTGTCTCAAAAGAAAACCCCCAACATTCACCTCTGGTCTCTACATCTACACATATGTGTAAGTGTACCTGCACATACATGTGTACACATAGACATATACACACACACACACACACAACATAGACATACACACACACACACAAAAAAAAAAAAAAAACAAAAAAACCCATAGAGACTTGGGATGTGGCTCAGTTGGTAGAGTGTTTTGGTTAGCACACATGATGTCCTGGGTTCAATCATCATTGTTGCATAAATCAGACATGGTACATACCTGCACTCCCAGCACTTGGGTTGTAGAGACAGGAGGATCAGGAGAAGAAGTTCAAGGTCATCTTTAGCTACTTAGTGAGTTTGAGATCAGCCTGGAATATATGAGATCCTGTCTCAAAAATGACAACAGACCTGCTCAGGAGGGACATGAAGGGAACAAATGGGAGCCAGGGGACAACGGTAGGAGAGTAGAGGCAAGAGAGCTCCATCCAGTGGCCTGGGGGTACATGGAGGAGAGACCCAGCTGAAGGGAGCTGCTGGTAGCTGCAGAAGATAAGCAGTGCCCTTAATTCCTGTGCCATGACATTTGGGGGACTCATCCATATTATTAGTAAAGATTGGTCTGAGGGATCAGTTCTGGGATATGGAGGGACAAAACCCTGGGAACATCTGGAAATGGATTTTTCTGCTACCGGATAACTGATGGGAGCCTGAGACCCTCATTCATCTGAGATGGCTGACTCCAGAGTGGCAGAGCCAGCCAGAGAGGAATGCTGACTCCTCATGAGATAGACAAGTGAGGACATAGGAACAGCTATAGTAAACAGAGTCATCAGAGGCCTGGGCCAGGGAGGCCAGAGCCCAGGCCGTGTATACCTATCTGGAGGCTCTCCACTGAACCAGGCAGGCCACATGTGGCCTTAGAACTGCACAGCACCAGAGCCCTGGGAAGAGGGTGTTGATAGGACCTGGGGGGAGGGAGATGGGCCCTTCCACAGGGTGGGGATGAAGCAGTCAGCCGAACCAGCCTACCATGGACAGATAGGACTCTGGATATTAAGATCATTTGATTGCTTCCTGAACACAGGGAACCAGGCTACAGTCAAGAAGAGGGCATCTATGGGCTGGAGATGTGAGGTAGAGTGCTTGCATAGCATGTATGAAGTCCTGGGTTCAATCCCCAGCACCACATAAACTGAGTGTGGCAGCACACACCTCTAATTCTAGTACTTAGGAGATGGAGACAGGAAGGTCAGAAGTTCAAGGTCATCCTTGACTATATTAGAGTGTGGGGCCAGATGTGGTGGGGCACATCTTTAATCTCAGCACTGGGAGGCAGAGGCAGGCAAAACTCTCTGAGTTCAAGGCCAGCCTGGTCTACATGGTGAATTCCAGCCCAGCTGGGGCTACAGGGAGACCCTGTCTCAAAAAAAAAAAAAAAAAAAGAAAAAAAGAAAAAAGAAAAAGGGGGGTGGGGACACCAAGGGGCTGGAGAGATGGTTCAACAGTTAAGCACACTGGCTGCTCTTGCAGAGGACCTGAGTTTGAATCACAACACCCACATGGCGTCCAATGACCTTCTGTAATTCCAGTTCCAGGAGATCAGACACCCTCTCTGACCACCTTGGGCATTGCACAACATGGGTGCAACCTACCTACACATAGGCAATACACTCATACACATAAAATAAAAATAATAAAAATTAAAACAAACAAACCAAAAAACCCAAAAACAGCAATAAAAACAAACAAAACAGGAGGCAGCATGTGAAATGGCTTAGCTGGTAAGGGTGCTTGCCACCAAACCTGACTACCTGAGTCTGATTGCTGGAACCGCAGGAATCCTGATTAAGGGTAAATGCTCTTGACCACTGAGCCATCTCTCCAGCCCATGTCATCTTTTATTTTGTATGGTGAAAGGAGAATACTGACTCTCAAAAGTTGTCCTCTGACCTCCACAGGCACACTGTGACATGTACACTCACGTAGATAGACAGATGATAGATAGAGAGATGATAGATAGATAGATGATAGATAGATAGATAGATAGATAGATAGATAGATAGATAGATGATAAATTTTTTTATTTTTTTTTTGGTCTTTTTGAGACAGGTCTCCCTGTAGCCCCAGCTGGCCTGGAACTCCCTATGTAGACCAGGCTGCCCTCGAACTCACAGAGATCCCCCTGTCTCTGCCTCCCAAATGTTGGGACTAAAGGTGTGCACCACCACACCCAGTCCATATGATAGATTTTTTTTTCTAAGGGGGGAGAAGAAGGGGAGGAGTAGCAGGAGCAGCAGTAACTGAATTAGAAGGGACTCCTTCCTATACCTCTTCTGGCTTCCGTCCACCTCTCTGAAGCTAAGTGTCCCAGTCAGGCAGCCTGGAAGTCCAGCCTCCTAGGGAGAAGGGCTATAACAAGAGGGCTTTGCTGCCATCCTGTGGAACTAATGAACTACAGTCAATGGGACAAGACTGATTCTCACTCTTGTCTGATTAAACATAGACAGTAGTCAAGGAGTGCTTAGCGCCCTTCAAGACAGGCACAGGCCAAGCCTCTGTAAGCTTACAATACAAATAACTACAAGTATCCAAAGACTGTCTTGCATGTCTAACAGCAACAAGCTGGAGAAACAGATGATATGTGATTGCTGAGACTAGAACAAGGAAGGCTTTGAAGAGCGGTAGAAAAAGGCAGGAAGGGCATCGAGGACGGAAGGCACAGCATAAGCAAAACATCGAGGTGTGGAAGTGCACCATGAGGTT